TTGGCGTATTGTATAGCTACGGCTATTCTCCATATGATTCTTCGAAAATATTCCTTTGCACAGAAATAAAAAGTATTGCCTTTTCTGTTCATTTCTTATCAATATTGGATTTCATTGGGGGTGGGTGGCGAATCATACTTATACATTTTTTTCTTTCCTTAATTTAAGGACATGATCAGACTTAGGGAGAAAGAAAACTGAGTATTGTTGCTGGGAGCTGGGTTAGAGAAGATGGCAGCACTGTTCATGGTTGGGATTGACTGGGGGCAAAGCCACACTGGGGGGCATTCTGTGGCTGTTCCAGCTAGAGTGTTTGTGCCATCTGAGTGAACAGCCCTTCCACATTCACATAGAATATCTCTACACTTGACTCTGCTCCCCATAAGTCGGAAGGGAAGTACCTATTTCAAAACAATTCATTTGTTGTCATGCTTTTCTTCTGTCTCATCAGGTCAGTATTGAATTAAAAAGAAAACTGTTCATTTTTCTAAGCATCTTGTAAAATGTCAAATCTTTAGTGACTGCTGGTTTTTGGCAATTTGTCTTAATTTGGAGCAGCTGGGAAGGGACATGAACATTGCTTTGATAAACTGTAGGTGGGGGAAGTGCAGGTATTTAAATTGGTAAATGACATCTTAATTGATTTTGTAGAGGCTTGTGATAGCAGAGGTGTGGCATGAAGGGCAGGAGATCAGAGCAGCATCACTTCTTCACATAAGCATTGTTATGACATTGTTAAAGACCTCTATGTGACAAACTCAAGTAGGAGAAATTGATTTGAGTTACTTTCTAATGACTTTCATTTCCTTTGAGAGCACCACATGAGGGCCGTAGAGCTGCTCTGATAGCTTACGGTGCTTGATTAAACTGTTACCTGTGATGGACTGCTGGGTGGAGGGCCTGTGTCTTGCAGGGGGCTCACTGTGCATCTTGGGACCTGCTTGAAGAACTGAGTTAACTAGCTTGCTCTGAGCTTTGAGGACTAGGATGAGCTGGAGGTGCTGTCTCAGCCTGCCTGGTACTCCCGTGCCAACCACAGTATCCCAGTTCTGGAACCATCTAGTCAGAGTGTGAATGTTCCTGTCTGTGCGAAGGGGACAGCAAGATGGTGGCTGTGGACTGTGTTATGGAAAACCATATGCAGCTCTGTGAGCTTCAGAAAACACACTTCCATTAGAAAAAATAAGTCCCTCGTGGAGAAGGACCAGCGTTTGCAAATGGAGAAGAGAAACTGGCTCTTTAGAACCAGTTATTTCCTGGAGACTTGGGCCACTTTGTTCCCCAGGGGCCTATGTTATTGTGATACTGTTTAATGTGATACAGCCACCTCCGCTTTCTTACGAAAACTATTGGTAAATTGACATTATATGCTGATGGTCTTCGAGTCACTCTTATTGACATTTAAACAGACCTGTATTTCCCTTACATTTATTTTCAGATACTTCTGTATATTGTCCTTATCTCCAGGAACATTATGTTTCAGCAGATGAGGCAGGTGTCAGCCATGTCTTCAGAAAGCCAAATATCCGTAACCCCAAAGTGCCTTGGAAATGTTTTATGGCGGTGTTTCTGAATGCCCAGTCTATTCCCAGAACCCATCTATGAAGGACAGTCATTGCATTTTAGGGACTTCTGCCTTTTAAAATACTAGGCCTTGGCCTCTGTCTCATCTCTCTCCTTTCCCCTTTTTGCCGTGATGACAGCTCACCTTTGCCTCGCAGCCAGCCTGGACTTTGTGGACTCTTTAATGTCTGTCCAAGGGGTACAGAAAAATCTCACCTTTCCTCGGGGGAGGAGACAGAAGTCCCCCTCTTTGGCAGTGCAAGAGCAGAAGGGGATCTGAGGATATGAATGAGGACATCTCCATCCTTCAGTACACTGCTCTTAGAACTGTGAGGACCAGTTCCAAAATGGTGGTGGTAGTGAGCCTTGCCTTCAGGAAATGTGTCCACAGACATACTGGATTTATTTAGCAAGCCTTTTGGCTGTGCTTTGCAGTTATGCATGAAAAAGACATTTGGGACAGAAACGAAGCCGAGTTCCAGGTGGTTTTTTGTGTTGTCACAACTGTAAGGTATTCATTTTTATGAAATGAAAGTGAATGGCAGCCTGTCTGTATAAATATAATATTTCTAAGTTTTAGAAGTGGTGGAATCGAGAAATAGACTAATGATATAGCACTTCATTGAGACTTGTGTGGAATGATTTACTTTCTCATTTTTTATTGAAAACTTTATCTGAAACAATTACATCTCTCAGTCCTCTCTTAAATGTGATTTCCACGCACATAGGTTGGAGTCACACTGACCGCGGTAGGATGCTGATCCCTTGTGTATGGTATGTGTGTAAGGCCCAGGGACTTGCTGGGCTTTAGTTTTCTCATTAATAAAATTAGGACAAGACATATAGATCTCCTAAGGTTGTTATAAGAATAAATTACATAAAACATGTAGAGTGCCTGGCATGGTGCCTGGGGCATGGTAAGCTCTCAATCACTGGTAGCTTTTATCTTTATGAATAATTTCATACAGTTATAATTATGCAGCATGGGGTAGATTTTCGTTTATTCACTTTGTTATTTTTTTACATAGGCTTTTATGTATCTGGGGTCTTCTTGATTAACTTTTTTCAGTGGCCTCCTACTATTTCACAGTTAATACTCCATAATTCATTCAACCATTCCTCAATTCTTATTTATTTCCCTATTGTAAAACAAAATCCTGATGTAAACATTTTGCCCACAGCTTTGTTTCTTCTTGAATGAAGTTCTTGAGTCAAAGGATATAAATTTTTGAAGTGAGATCCAATGTATATTATCAGATTGCCTTCCAGAAGATTTGAAGCAATCATACATCCCAAGGCAATGTAAAATTTTCCTCAAGTAATATATAAGGTTTATTCCTGAAACCTTGTAAATACTGGCTTACCATTTTGCTAACAGATATTAAGTGCCACCTTGTTGTTTAACCTCCTTGCATTTCTTCATTTATTAGTTGATTGTTTCTATTGTGTGATTTTTTTTTTCCCCATAGTGTTTGATGATTCGACCTTTGGAGATATAGAAGTTTATTTTAGAGATTTGTATACTCTAGGTACACCCTTTAAAAAATGTGATAAAATATACGTAACACAAAATTTACCATTTAAACCATTTTTAAGTGTGTAATTCAGTGGCATTAAGTACATTCACAATGTTGTGCAACATCACTATTCATTTCCAGAACATTTTCACCATCCCAAACTGAAACTCTGTACTCTTTAAACAATAACATTCTCTTCTTCTCCCACACCCCAGCCCCTGGTAACCTCTATTCCACTTTATGTCTCTATGAATTTGCTTATTCTAGGTGCCTCATATTATAAGTGGAATACTTTGTCCTTTTGTGTTTGACTTATTTCATTTAGCATAGTGTTTTTAATATTTATTCATATTATAGCATGTATCAGAATTTCGTTTCTTTTTAAGGCTAATATTCCATTGTATGCGTATACCACATTTTATTTATCCATTCACTTGTTGATAGACATTTGGATTGTGTCTACTTCCTGGCTATTGTGAACAATGCTGCTGTGACATGGATGTACAAGTATCTGGTTGAGTCCATGCTTTCTGTTCTTTTGGCTGTATACCTAAGAGTAGAATTAATGAGTCATATGGTAATTCTATGTTAACTTTTTAAGGAGCCCTCAAACTGTTTTCCAGAGCAGCTTCACCATTTTACATTCCCACCAGCAGTGAATGAGTGTTCCAGTTGTTCCACATCCTTGCCAACACTTGTTTCCCCCACCCTCCCCATTTTTTGCATAATAGCCATCCTAATGGGTATGAAGTATTAGGTACAAGTTTTATATGTTATATTTATGATTTTAAGTTTCCCCTATGTCATTGTTTTGCCTTTTATCTGATTTTTGTGGCTCTTGTAGAAAAGGAGTTAAAATTTTTTTAAAGTAATTGTGCCTGAGCATTTTTTAATGTTTGTAACTTTACCTTTTGCTTCAATAATGAAAAGATTCTCTCTTGTCTATAAACTGAATAAATACTGTATTCTGTTTTATCTTTTATATGTTAAAAAATAACTCTTAGAATTTATAGAGGTATATCTATTTCTATATATATATAAATATGAGTGTCATGTTAAATTAATTTTTCTCTATTTAGGGGTCCTATTTTCCTATGAACATTAATTAGTTTTCTTTTCTCATTGTGGTTTTGCTTAGTGTTTATCACTTAACACATTCTTATATTCAGTGAGAATTCATTTCTGTACTCTTTTTTCATTCCATTTATTTTATTTCCAGTTTTGAACTAGGATCATGTGATTTTGATTATTGACGTGTTGTATGTTTTTCTAATGTCTGGAAGGGCTAGTTCAGCCTTGTTATTTTTTCACCAGGATATTCTTTAACAGTTATACATTTTCAAAACAAATTTCAGACTTTGAATTCTTAGAAGCATGGTGGAATACAAATGGAAATTGCATAAATCTGTATACTGGCCAGAGAAAGACTGAACTTTCCCATCAGGTAACATGGGATGGTGTTTTCCATTCTTGTTTTCCTTCTTTTTTCCATCTAATTCTTTTGGTTTGTTCTAGTGTTGGTTGCTCTTGAAGAGCTGAGCGATCAGTTGCATTGGAATCACATTGCTTGTGTTTCATATTGACTGCTTTACTGTGGATTTTATGTTATGAGCTGCTCTTAGTTTAAAAAGCTTTCATTATTGGCAGTCTCCTCCTTATCCGAGTGTGGGGGCTGAAAAGACTGTGCTACATCACACACACCTAAAGATCTTGGAACACACAGTGAGTTGGCGGCATGTCTAGAATTAAGA